GAAATGTAAAGATAGCAGCAATGTTGTAGTTGGTAATGCTTCACTCTTTAGCCTAAAAAATAAACACAGGACAGGCTAAAGACTTTAGGTAAGTTAAACGTGTAAGGCTAATTCAACAGCATTCAAAACCACGAAAGTAAACTTAGTGTGGGAAGAAGCCCTTGGCTCTTTGGTGCTCCCTGTCCAAACTGGTTTTTGCTCCCCAAGTTAGAAACTGCAAGTGCAGTTGGCATTTAAGTGTTGTGATTAATTGTTCTATTGTATCAAAAAAATACAGTGGGTTCCTATATTGAGTTGGCCCTGCTCCCACATGTACGCTGAGGTGCTGAGTTCAATGGCACAGAACCTGCTACTTAAGGTGGGGAGAAAAGGAAAGAATTCCACACTGCATCCATTTTTTATGGCCCTTGTTTAAATCACTGCAAATGGTACCTCTGAGTTTAATGTATGTTGATTTGATGGCATGCTTCTCTGAAGGTATTAAATAAACCAAACAAACAAAGGACCCTGATGTTTCTTCCTCCCATCATTACCGAACTGATTCTCCAAGGTGCCTGGACATGAAATCCCCTTGTTATGGCTGCATGTCCACTTCCAGTGAAACAGGTATCTTTTCTATATAGATGTCTTAATTTTCTATCCAGGAAACCCCACTCCAAACTTCCCATTCCAAAAATAATAGCAGTGTTCAGTCACATTTTATGAAAGCATCTTAGAATTTATATACATAAGACTAGTGTACATTTCAAAGAATATATGAAATTATGTCTTTTTGCTTTTACTGCAGGGATCAAAGAGCTGACTAAAATTAAAATTTCATGAACTTTAAATTATGCATTTAGTCATAAAAAAATATTAAAACAAAAAAAAATTTAAAGCAGCAGGTGTACCTTATATAGTAAGATAAAGTTTAATATATTTTATTAGCTTAAGGGACACAGAATAACTATCTATCCAGAACTTCAGGCATGCATTTACATAAATATATTAAATTAAGAAAAGCAATTATACACTTAAACATCCTTTTGTCTAAAAAAATCATTAAATCCACAGATTAACAATAAATCCAACTCTATGTATTTATCACTTCCAGATACAACTGTTCCATTTCTCAGATAATACACAAATACATTTGTTAGAATTTATATGCATTATACATATATTATATATTACATAATAGTGTGTATACATACATGGTGTTCAATAATATAATAATAATTTGTAGTTTTTATAGCACTTTTCATTTGAAGAGCTCAAAGCGCTTTATGAGGATTTATTTGATTGATTTTCAGATGGAAAGTGGAGGCAGAAAGATGCAATTATTTCTGGATATATAGAATTTGTGACAGACAGTAACTGAATTCTCTTGTTGTGAACTTCAGTCATGCTGTCTCCCTAAAAAGAAATGCACATATAGCTTATGTAGTCTATGTAGGTAGACTTGCAAAGACTTGTAAGGTCTCAAACCAAGAAAGCACTTAATAATATTAATAATGTTAAGCACATGACTTCAGTGAGGCTCATATGCTTAAAATTACTAGTGTGCTCCCAGTGCTCTGCTAGATTGGTGCCTGTGTATGCTTAGTAGTATAATACAGTTTTTAGTTTTAGTTACAGCTTATAGAAGATACTTAAACCTAGTTTGAATGATATTTTCTAAGCTATTTTCCCACATTTCAAATGTACATACTGTACCTGACAGCTACTATAAAATAAAACTAATTGAACAGGGGAATGTCACAACAGTAATGTTCTCAAGTGACTGATGTTTGTTATTTCCTTTTCTGCTTGGCTCCCATTACAATCTAATTGTTCTCATTTGGGACTTGAAGTTTAAATTCTGCAGTATATTTTGTGGGGGACAGCTAATAGCATCTCCGGGTAATTCACAGAGTAGGGTTACTGCTTCTGGTACTAATGGAGATACATCTGGTGGCTTAATACCAGATGGCATCTGATCAAGTATATCTTTAGCTAGTGCTTCCTTTATGAAATTTCCTGGGATTTAAAGCAATTTGTCAATTTTTTTTTTTTTTTTTTACTTTTTTACTTCTGTTTTCATTGCATAATGAAAATAAAATAGTAAAATCTCATAGACCATAAGAAGAACTTTACTACATGATACATTGGACCCTATTGATAACTTGTAGCAGATGGAAAGATGTTATTTATCAGTAGAAAAAGAACTCTTCTCCAATAATGCAGCTTGCTGTCTGTGCAGTAATTTCTGACACTTTGTTTGTGGAAGCCTGTCTGTGTAGACAATAGGCAAAGACATTCATTATACGTATATAACACAGAATATTAAATGTTTGTGAATTTCTGTGGCATGAAATGATTGCCAGGTGATATCTTTTCAGTACAGAGAGCTCTGGAAGCAGGTGTGTCACTTGTCTTTCAAATCAATCTGTACAGTGTAATGTGAAGAAAAATGTCCTACAGAAGCCTATGGGAGTTTTCTTTGGGTTATGGAACAACATGATAATCCTTTGCTAATATATAAACCAACTAGCTATTACTAATAACTCGTGAGTGAACTGAAGGAAAAAGGTGCATGTGTCAGTTATAAAACAGTAACATTTCTCTTTTCCCATCAATAGCATTAGAAATGCTGTCTGATTAGTCAGTCTACCCAGTGTAAATCCATGCAGAATTAATCGCTGTGCTAAGATTTTTTGGACGTTGAAAACATTTTAGAGCACAATAAATCCTGTGTGCAGAGTTGTAACTGAAAGAAATGAGAACAAAGGCAAGCAGCAAGACGTGTAGGACACGTCTAGGTGGTGTCTGCTCATGTCCCACCCCGTTATTGCTTAGGCCTGGCATGTCAGTACTGAGGGCTCTCACCCCTTTCAGTCTTGCTAGTCTCACTAGTAAGGGTAACAACAGCATTTTTGGATTAGGATATAGTCTTGACTGAAATGTTACACCATCCCTGCTAAACAGACAGGAAAAAAAAGAGTTTGAAAATGCATCTAATACTGCCAAAATCATCCCTTGTAATACCGGACTCAAAACAGCCAAGGGAGCTGTTCCATGGATGTTCATGAGCATCTGTGGGGGCTACTTTGGGCCCCATCTCACTACGGCCATCTCATAAAATGGGGACAGTGACTTGACATTTCAATTACTTTCCTGCTTACTGGGCATATTGGAAACAAGTGTATATGTGTGTGAAAGAGAAAACCTGTGAGCTAATTGCTCAACATTTTTCAAGAATTATCAAGAAGTCTGGCAGATTTTGTGTAAGTGTTGGGAATATCCATTAAGGAAACCCAAGAGGATTGGATATGCTTCACATGGCTTTGTGCAGTGTTGAATCTGCAGTCTTATTCTGGAAAACATTGGTTTAATGATTGGAGATGACGACACAGAGAGGTCATGTGTGCACTGATGTCTGAAGTTAAGATCTTCTGCCAGTTAAGTGGATATCTTTTAAAGACTATAACTAATGAAGTCGACAGGAGTTAACATCAATGGACTTGGAGTCAGGCCCTCAAAGATTAAAGTAATCCTGTACTGAGCTTTCAGGTGGCTTCTGCTGTTTCACACCTATGTCCCAAAAAGTATGTGTCTTAGTTCACTGAATTACTCTGTAGTTGAAAACAAACTTTCCAGCAAAACAGACTTTTTTCAATGTTTCTAAAACATTTTGTCCCAAAACTACTTACAGAAATATTTATTAGGGTTTTTTTTAGCAAGAACGTAGATTATTTGGTACAAATTTTCTTCAAATTTGAATTGGAATATATTTAAAGAGTTGGTTGCCTTTTGGGTGAGAATGTTACTTTTTTTTTTTTTTTAATTGCAAAATATTAGTGAATTTTTATTATTGCAAAAGGGGAAAAATTAGTTTTTACTTGCTTCATGACTTCCTTTTGGCTGTTTTTTTTGTTTGTTTTTGGGTTTGTTTTGTGGTTTGGTTTTGCTTTGGTTTTTTGTTTTGTTTGGTTTGGTTTGGCTTTTGTTCTGAGACAAGGATCACGTTTTAAGTTGGATAGAAGACCAAAATGGTATAATTCCTAAATAAACTGATACACAGATAAATTTAAGGATATTAAATTAAAACACATTAATGTCTTGTAAAGAATTTACTTAATTAAGGAAAAATAAGCAGAACAGGATGTCCTCAAACTTGTGTTTTCCATGTAGATCTAATCTTATAAATGCCTATTTCATGGATACATAATAAGCATCACCTGCAGCAACCAGGGATTATTGATGTTTGCTGTGGTTTTAGAAAGGAAGGAGCTGCAAAGTCCAATGTGTAGAAATGAATGAAAGAAGGAGATAAAGAGAGGTGTCATGTTGGTGATACAGAATTTGTCCCCTTATTTATAACTAACATACACTTTGTTTGCAAGAAATATAATAACCTTTTGAGGGTTTAAAGGTACAAAGAGTTTGCATCTGTGTCCCTGACTGTTAACAGGAAGAATTTATTCCCAGAGGGGGAGAGTTTGAGTTAGTATTTCTTATTGGACGCATTAGAAAAAATGAGTTTACTGTTTTTCTGAAATGGAGTGAAACAATTTGGAGCTGATTTTACATAACATCTTTTTGACTCCCTACTTATCCATGGAGTAAAGATATTTCTCCTTATATTCTGATAATATGTCTTCTTTCTGATCAGTGATCAGAGAAAAATGAAAGTTTTTTGTTCCAAAATAATAAAACAGGTTTGAAACTAGCAGACACCAGAGACAGAGCTATGTTTCTTGCAACAGGTATGTTTGTTCTATTTTAACAGTGGAAAGCCTCAAAGAATGCTTGAAATGTACAGTGTGTTGGGAACAGAGAGGCAGTATCTCCGAATAAAGGAAGAAATGAATAGAATAAAAGATTAGGAGAGAGAGACAGAGACAACTTGAGCACATACATAAAATCCCTTCTGGAGGCCCTTATCTAATTGCCTCATTTATCTAGTTTCATTTATAAGCTCAGTTTTATTCTGGGACACTCTCGGAGGTTGTGCGAGAATGGCTGCAGAATGACCTAACTGGCAACAGGCTTTCTACAGACCCCTTTTTTTTTTTTTTTTTTTTTTGTATGCCAATTCTCAGGGCAATTACTGCAGTTGCCCTTTTTATATCAGCATCTTGGGTGGCTAGGCCTGGGGTTTGCTCACTCTTTTTAATAGTATAATTTCTTTTGATAAATAAGCAGCTAGGAATTTTTTTTTTATTTTTTTTTTGTGAGAATACTTCTTTTGTTGTGGGACTTCCTATGTACATGTGGGCTTAATGCAGATGTTTGCTTTCCCATGATATAAAAGATGATTTTAAAAATGAATCAAAACACTTTCACAAACTATCTCCCCTTTCCCTCTAATCTCCATTTAGATTACATCTTACTTTTGAAGTTTTGGTGGAATGACTCAAACAGAAAAAGTTTGTTTCAATAAAATAAACTGAAGTATTTTGCTTAAATTTTGAAAGTGATTTCTGGGTGCACCACAGCTGATATAAGTTTTTGCTATTGATTTGAATAAGGCCTGGATTTAATTCTTAGCTCTTACTGGAGCTTTATTTTCTGATTTCACTAGTTAACTAAATTGTCTTATTATTAAGATCAAAACTCTAAGATCATTGTTATCACTTCTCTGCATGTCTATGGCATATATATTATTGTGAGTCTTCAATTTAGGTGCCATCTGTGGTATATTTTAAGGAACTAAGCAGGGAGAAAAGAACTATCACATCTCTCCAGCTGGTTGTTGAAAATAATGTGTCACAGTGGAATTAAAGTCGGGTTTATTTTTAAATATATTTCATTGAAGAAAGTGTTAAAGATGTTATCTCTGTCAGATATTTAAACGTTGCTAAAATACTTCAGCAACTTTCTTGCTTTGCTGATTATGAGGAGTGTAATAAAACCGTGCTATGTGACAGATTTAGACAGCTGGCTCATTCAGGAGAAGTTCACATTTTTGTCACCCACGTTGAATAAGGAAAGATTAGATGCTAAGGTCAATTTACAAAAATGGTTGTCAGGACATTTTTTAATTGTAAAACTTTTTGTGGTGGAATTCAGGGAAAAGACTAAAGGCAGAAAGCAGAGGAGACAAAGAGCAGCTATTAACCTACAGATGCTACCACAGGGTTCATTTTGAGATTGGTCACACTGCTTAGCCAATGAAGTGTTCGTGTGACTATAAGGGACCACCCTTTTCTGAGGTGAGAGGGCAATTTGGTCTTCATGCTCATTTAATCCCAAGATGTCTTCAATGGACTATCAGTTGAATCTACATTGTGCAAAATTATGCATGCACTTTTTAATGCAGACTGTTGTTCTCTGAGCACTTAACCAAGATTTCTCAACCAATTTTCCTTGGGCATGAGGTCACTCAGAACCCAGGCAAACATATATGGAGGGCAAATGTAATTTTCTGTTCCTCTGAGCTGGAATGTGTAAGACACAGAAATGCAAGTATCAGTCACTCTGTAATTTCAGATTTAATACCTATTAAATGAAGACTGACAAATTTCTATAAAGGAGAATTTGTTGCATGCTGCTGCCCTGGAGAGGTAATGTTGCTACTGGAGAGTAATATGGCTAAAATCTTTTAGATCTCATTGACTAAAGTGTTGTCAATTGTTGATGCATGAGCAGCTGCTTATAAGGACCATAGGATGTGCACACTGTGGCTATTTCGCTTTCTTTTCTTAAGCAGGATTTTATAAAAGCCAGATAGTGCAAAGGAAACATGATAGTTGGTAAGCAGTGAGTGAAGAAACCACCAATAATGCCCTAGAGCTGGAGATAAGAGGGCACCAGTTCCGCATATACATGTAATTAGACTATTAATATCTTAGGAAACCTGACTATAGCATGTACACCATACCTCTTCATACATTTACAAAGACTCAGTTTTGTGTTAGCTCTTGAAGGAACATTTACATTTAGAACTACGTTTGGCAAGAATCACTATACGATTTGTACAAGTGACACTGTGCACAGGCAACACATGCAAGTGGGAACTCCAGTCCAGGCATGTTCCGTTCAGTGTGACACTGGCAGCAGCTTGCCTGTATAACCTCTTACACTGTCCTGTTACAGTGAAAACCACTTTATGGACACTTTTAACACATGCTGAAATTTTATTATGATTGGTTGGTGGTTGTTTTTTTTTTTCCTCATCCGTTGTAAATAAACACAAGTTGACACAAGGATACATTTCTAGGTTAGATCCACAACACCTTAAAGTGTGTGTGTTTTGCTCTCTCTTTCCCCGTCTTTCCAATTAAGTTGGTGAAAAACGTAACTTTAGTATTTTACAGGACATGGTAAAGCTGTCTCATGTAGGTGATATTATAAAAATAAAAAAAAATAATATAAATATGTAATATGAACCCCGTGCCCACCGTTAAATAAAATATATGATAAAAGCAGATCTTCTAGGATGACTGGTTTTGAAATATGCAAATATAATTTAATTATTAAACACTTGAAACAATCTTGATATTATGCTGCGATAACCAGATTTTTGCACCTATGCTAGATAAAGAAATGCGTAACATTCTGTAATAGAGTTACATTGATGAAAGTGAAGGTTACAGTCTTACAATAAATTGCCTAGATAGGAATGCATTAAGTAGTTCTGAAATACTGTCTCATGATGTAGTTCAGTTCACCTTAGAAACTGTTACAACTGGATTTTATTAAGTCCAGCAGTTTATACAGTGATGCTGGAAGACTGCTTCCTCACTGCTATGATCAGGTAGGTACAGACACGAGATTGCTGGGATATCAAAGAATCCATTAAGACATCATGAAAAGTCCCGTGACAAGAATGTGTTTTATGGCGGTGGAATTAGCTTTGTAAACTATTTCTCATGAAGAAATAAATATTAAAAAAAAAATTCCACTCTCTGTAGAACCGTGCTTGTTTGTGGCAGCGTGTGTGCAAGTGTATGTGTGCACATATTGGATATCGGGACGTCTGTGGAGACGTATGGGGAATATTTACACACATACAAAGAATTTTTTTCTGCAGAGTTGTGGATATTATACTTAAATTAATAAAGTAACTCAAATCACCGGTATTTGTTTCAGGATAAGAGTCTTTTGAAAATGACAGAATTCAAAACAAATGCCCGTTGAAAGTGTAGTTTCTAAACAGTCCCAGGAACTATACAATATAGCTGGTTAGATCCAGCAAATAGGATGTCATGTCTAGGATCTGATCAAGAATACCTGCCCTTGTCACTCTTCGGATGCTTCTATCGACTTGCTCACACTGGGGGCCGAGATAGCCTTTTTTACACAAGCATTTATTAGGCCTTACACAGACACCTCCATGTCGACAGGCTGGGTCACATTTTGCTGCGGGTAAAAAAACAGGGATTTTCTGATTTGTTGAGAACATCACAAACTGAAAAGGTGCAGTTACACATTCATTAAAGGCTTTTCTAGTCTTATAGTGATAAAGCAAGCATAGAAATGAAAACCAAAACGGAAAAAATGAAATATTAGAAGTTGTGAAACCGTATTTTTTTGAAGTTCAAAAATATTAGGGGGAGGAAGTAATTTTGTATGTCTGGGTGGATATCACCCAAGAAAGACTGATAAATAACAGATTTTTTAAAATGTCCAATTCCCATATTCAGATTTGATACTGGAGTGAATAGACAACCCATTTCAAAAGACTTCAGGCTCCACATATCTTATAATTTGAACCTATATCTAGACCAGTGGTGGTCTACCTCATTCAATTTCTTATGCTGGAATCCCAAAGAAGTCCTGAAGTTGGTGAGACATTTTAACACCTGGCTATCTCCAAGCCAGCAAGTGCTGAATCTCAAGTAAATTGCTTTATACACCCAGAGTTTTGCACTACACTCTTTCCTTAGCAGAGCAGGCTAAAACTGACCAGAGCTGCTCTCCCTTGGCTCTTGCATCACTTAACCCTGAGACCAGGATTGAATTCCATTTAGTGAAAAAAGAGCCAGAGCATTTTTTTCAACAGTTGTTATCAGTTATACAGGTTTCAAAGTTTTCCCCTCTCTCTTTAACAGAGGATTTACCTATCGAGTTCTAGGTTAATCAGCCTGCTTCAGCTGTTCAAATGTAACTGCTATTTTAAATTGTAGCCAGTGTTACAGTAATAATAACTTTAGTTGTGGAGGTATTTTCTTCTGGAGTAGAGTCACAGCACTGTGATATATACAATGTATCTTGCCTTTTTTTTTTTTTTTTTTTTTTTTTTTTTTTTTTTTTTTTTTTTTTTTTTTTTTTTTTTTTTTTTTTTTTTTTTTTTTTTTTTTTTTTTTTTTTTTTTTTTTTTTTTTTTTTTTTTTTTTTGCAGGCATTTTGCTGTTTAATCTTATTATAATAAACTCTAATATCGATCTACAGATATTTATAATATACTATATAAATACAGGTTTCTTGGTTTTATCCACAAGCTTCTTAATGACACTAGAAGGGAACTGATACCTTGTAAGGTAATTTTTCTTACTTAAATTATAATAGTGGCTTGAGGTCCAACTTGGAATTTCTCAGTTAAATGTTGCATAGGACACAGGAAAGAAAGATTCTTAGTCTACATATTTTCTGTACCTTTCTTGTTCATGGCATCCATCAAATTATATATCATAAATCTGTATTTTTTTAGACAAAACGGATTATTCAAGACCCATTTATGGTCACATTGGATGCATTTTTTGCTTTAAGTTCCACTTGGAGAAAGGCTATAGAATGGGCCTCATCCTCTAAGTGTAAGAAAGCTCTGACTGACAAGTGAGGACAATTGAATTTCTCCAACCTGCTTTTGTTGCAGGGTTGGATGATGGTCTGCTCATGAATCTCTCCCTGAGATACATAATTTGTAGTTTCAATAATTTCATTTCATTCTGAAGTCACTCCTGCTCATCACTGAAATCCTGGAGATTGCTGAAATTCACACTCGAGGCTTTAAGGACTTCATAGCAGACCCTGCTTCACCAGGGCCCTCCTGAGTGCCCTTCAAACCTGAATTATCCCTGGTCCATTGTGGGATTCTTACTTTGTCTTAACATCTGACTCTCCTTTGAGTTCTACTGCCATTATATTATTATACAGCTCAGACATATCCACAGCCTCTGTGGGACAGTGATAGCACAGCTGTGGCACTCCAGGTTCATTCACCTCACTCCTTTGCTGGTACACTCAATATCTGCTTTGATCACAGTTTCTTCAAGTGACTTTTAAAAGCTAAAGCAACAAGAGTTGATGAATTCAATGTAATAAGGGATCACAATAGCGTTCTACTTCGTGGTAAGCTGTACATAAAATTCTCTTTAACAAACTGGAACCATTTCATTTTGTAGGATCAAAATCAAGAAAGTACTAAAACTAAAAAACATTCAAGTTCTTATTTACCATCTTTCCTGACAAGGTACCCCTGTTTGACACTGACAATGATAATACTGCAAGTGGAAGTTGAATGTCCAAAAGTGTATTGACTTCCTTTCATTTTACAATCTTGGTGGAACAAATACTTGCATATCATATTTATGCCCTTAATTGCACTCTGTACTTGTTCACATCGCATTAGATGTTTTAGTGGTTGCATTCATCTAAAGACTGTTGTTCTCCTACAACTCTCAAGATCAGTATTTCTTTGATGTTGTCTTAGAACTGATGGTGAATATATTGGTCAACATACATTGAAAATGTCTCTGAAAAGATAACTGAAAGCAAATTATGACATGCCACTGCTTTTTTTCCCCTTGTTGCTATGAATCTATATACAAACCAGTTCTGCAGAAGTCTCCTTCCCACCCTTGATTACAGCAACATTTTCCTGTGGGAGTGCAGTGCCCATTCCGACAATGCCTTGAGCATTCAGATGTCAGTATCTGTGCAGGCTGAGCAGTTCTTTTGCATTCTTCAGGGACTAAAGGCCTGAATAAAAACATACAAATCAAGCAAACAGTTAAAAACCAGGGTCAAGGAGAAAAAACTGTTTTGGGTTTGTTTTTTTTAAAGGCCTGATCCTCTGTTATGGTACTATAAGTGGGAGAAATTGTGGGGATTGCGTTTTTCCTCAGCAAAACCAATAGGCATAGAGATGATATGTTACATTACAGAAAAATATAGTGCTACTTCCTATTATTTCATATAACTGCCTTCAGAGATCTTCTACAAGATTGAATCATAGTCCTTCAGAAGTCCTGAAGCATGAACCTGGCGAAATCAGCTTGCTGAAGAGCTTATCACAGGAAGCATCTGATGGTGCCTTTTTATGTTTCTAGCTGATTTAGACTTCCTCATTGTATGCTGGGAAGAGTAACCTGAACAAGTTTCATGTCACACATTATGACATGTATAATAATTCTGCAAAAGTATTACCTCTGCCTACAAATACAGTTTTACCCTGCTGGCTTTTTATTTCCATATTTTCATGGAGTCATATTTGGATTATGCATTTTGGATGCGTATTTAAGCATCTGAACATCAGGAAAGACTTTTTCACTATGAAAGTGGTCAAGCACTTGCACAGGTTGCCTAGAGAGTTGTGTAGTCTCCATCATTGGACATACTCAGAAGCTGTCTGGACATGGTCCTGGGAAACTGGATGGTGTCCCTGCTTGAGCCCTGGGTTGGACCAGGTGCCCTCCAGAGGTCCCTTCCAACCTCAGCCTTTCTGTAGGTGATTCTATAAAATGTGTGCACAAAGCAAATTCTGGTTCAGCTGACTTAAAATATTTCAGATGCTGGGGTTTTTCTGCTGGGCTTCTTGTTGCCAAGTCTTATGTAATGCAATTGTTTCTGTCACTCTCTACAAAATATTTTGGATATCCAGTAGCCTTTTTTGTTGACAAAAGAACAGCATATCTTCCTTAACAAAGGAAGAATTGTAGTGTTCCTTCCGCAGTGTTAACTGTGTAAAAATTTTAAGTGTTTTATCTTCAGCGTGCCCTAACTGTTGATACATCTTCCTACAGTTTTTTAGATGTTTACTGTTCATTTGTTTTGAAATTTAGCTGTATGTCATCATACTGACCACTTATTTCATTTGCTGTCTGAATTCAGCAGGTAGAGGCTGTTAGGATCATCACAAGGCTACAGGTTCCCAGTGGAGGTACCATGTTTTGTCTCTTCTATAGGTTTCATTGCACAGAAATAAGTTTAGAAAAGAATGTCAGAATCTCCCAAGTGTTCTAATCAAAGAATTGAACTGGAGCTTTGTGGTAAATTAAATTAATTAGTGACAAATACAAAATTACTTATTCTCAAGGAAATAATCTGAACTATTGGCATACATTCCTGAGCTTTAAATTTGCAGGACAAAGATTCTAATAGTTTTCTGGAGAGCTTTGAGAAACCTTGCCTAAGTGTCCAGCTAGACTCCAAACAAACCAAACCAAAATTGTATTAGATAGAATGGAAAATAACATTGTTCATAATGCTAACATCAGTATTACACCTGCAATTATATGCCAATAGCTGGAATAGCAACTTGTGCCCTGATTACTCTGTCAAATATGAAATCCTAGGCTGATACTCTAGTGTGGAGAGAAGGATAATTTCGGGAGTCTGAAAAAGAATGGGTATGACGGAGGTGCAGAAAACTGTGACAGAAAAAAAAAAGAGGAGGAAAATTTGGCATTCTTGCCTATCTCCCATTTCAACATCAGAATATAAAGGGGGAAAAAATTAAGCTAAAGAAAATAAAATTAGCTGGCCGAACTCATGGCTTCTAAGCTATCAATGAAGCCCATGTTCCAGTAGGATTTTTAAAAGATATTTCTGTGCACAACGGGGCCATTCAAAGTAATATTAGATAGGGTAAAAATAATTTTAAAGAAAAATAAGCATTCATACCTAATGCCATTAAAGCCCCTCACTAGCTGCCTGGGCTTATATTTCCCCCTCCCATTTTGGCATGCAGCTTGCATTGCCTGTTTGAGAAATAAGAGTACAGGCTCACTGGTTTGTTTCACCATAGCACTTTCTCTGCTCTATCTTTATTACTACCATGACTATTTAAGCATCCATACAGAGGAACGGGTTCCCCAAAGATGTTAAGGACAGAAAGAATGTGTAGATGAATCTTTAGTGTAGCACTAAGTTCTGATTTCCAAACCATTTCTGAGAATCACTGAAGGTCCTGTATTATTTAAGGGCCTTGAAACATGTTTTAACACCTTTGGTAGAGCATATTTGAAACCTTTTCAGTTTTAGTGTTTACATATTTCCACACCTCTCTTTTAAATATACTGCATTATTTTTTGGACCTGTAAGGAATTCCAGTTCTGTAGTAACGACTGTGTTACATATGATCTGGTTAAGAAAGTTCCTACACGTAAAAATTATATGCAATATTCACAGGCAGTGCTATTTTGGAAACTGTTCTACAAAATCATATGATTTTCATTGGAGACTTGTTCAGATTTAAAGTAAAAAGATCTGTTTTCTCATTCTTATGTCTGGGGAAAAAAAGATCTACATTTGAGATGATTTCTTTATAGCCAGCTGCACAGGAGGCAAGATTCTTTCTTCATCTGTCACCATTAAAGACCATTTATTTCAAGTTTAAATGGCAGTCTTCTCTTTTTATTGTTCAAACACAAGCACAGTGCTGTGTTTAGCAGGAAGTATAACCTCAGGCTCCTGGAGCATCTCTTAGAAAGAAGCTCCAGTGGCAAATCTTTAGCAAAGAATGACCTCATACGTCACAAAGATATTTTATTTGTAAAGATAATGATTGATTTTATTAAGAGATGTAAAGTATTTATCTATGATAATGCTGTAATATGTGGTTCTTTTTGCATATANTTCCTTTTAGTCTACCATCAATCAATAACTTGTACTCATCAGCCCTGGATAATATTTATTAATGGTGGGGTGAAGTAGAAACAAAGATGGAAAAATTTCTGGTTGGCAGAGTGCCTTAGGAGAAGAGGAACACAAATGCAGCTGCAGCAGAATCCTTCTCATGTGTGAGAATTGCTGGTTTTCCTTAGCTGCACTATGGGAAAAGCCACACTTCTTTCTCAGGGCTTGAATGCTGTTCTGGGACCAGAACGTGTAGAGAGAAAGTCTCTGCCCCGCAGTACTTATACTTTGCATTCTTAAGGCTTGAAAGGGGTGGAAATTTTCAGTCTCAGCACAAGTTGAACTGAATTTCACAAAGATAACATAAGGCTCGAAACTGACTGTTGGGACTTGATCTTTCCTGCACTTAGACAAGCCTATGATTTTGTTTATATAACTAGTGCTTCACTGTGTCTCTTGATGTGGAGAGTGAAGGGGAATAGATGTAGCCACACTCTGGGCCGGAGAGAATATTTTTCCTTGTATTCCTCAATCTATAAAACTCTAAAGGGTACAGCTTGATTACTCTTACAGTAAGCACTATTTGGTCCACAGAAAGTCAGCCAAAAATGTAGCTGATAATGACTATTTATATGGTCTGTACAATTCTAGTTATCTTAAAGAGCTGTTCATATATACAGTACAGTACAGTATATCTTGCTTGTTAAAACAGGCTTTCATGAAACTGTATAACAACTCTAAATGTATGGAACATGGAGGAAAAATTGTAATGGGGGCTGGGGCCCTCGATGGATCCCTTCGCTGACACGTGCAGCGAGCTGGGAATTCTCGACTGTACAATAAAGAAAGAAATTTCTGCTGCCTTACCATACCTAATATAAGAAAGTAGCTTCTACTGTTAGTTTAGAGGCATATAAAAGTCTAATGTGCTTTAATAGATTTAAACTCAACCTGGTGTTGATTGGGATTTTGTGCTTTCTTTAGTGCTTCTCTTCACAGTTCCACAAAAATGCACAGAGTGATTTAGTTGCTATATGTACTGTTTGTAACTGGGATGCAAATGGAGGGCCAAATTCAGCAGTAAAACAATGGTACTAAACAGAGAGCAATTCTTTCACCATGCTTTTGACACAATATCAAAATCTCTCCTTCTCCACTAAAGTGAGGAAAAAAAAACCCCACAAAAAAACCTCCAGACAAAATTCCTGGATATTCAGATTCAAACAAGACACACTGCCATAGAAATCCTGACTGTGGTACAAAATATATGGAATGTTATGCTTCAGTTACCTGCACAGAAGATATTAGGCATTAGAATGATGCTTAACTGTATCACAAAAATTTGTGCATTAGTTGTTGGGTTTTTTTCCTTTATAAGGGAAAATGTCAAGAAAAAATAATTTTGTTTCACTCCTTGTCACAGACTAAATTTACTACCTGTCAAAGAATATATATCGCATCTCTTCAGGTACAATTCTAAAATTAAAAAGTATACCTTTAGTCCTGGGAGAGATGCCAAAAACTCATTACTTGTCTCCAAATTTACTACATGGGAATAATGTGGAAAAAACTTAGGGCTTTTAAGATTTAAACTCAGCAGCATATCAAATTTATTCTTATATGGTATACTTGTTCATGACCTCTAGTCTTAAGAAATTCTGTCATGTTTGAAAACTAGTCCCAAGTGAAGCCTGTATCAATGTTAATAGCTAAGAGGTCAATGCAACTGCTAAACAGTTTGTATTACTGTCAGGGTGGTCATGAAAACAACACCTGCTGCATGAGCACTTGGCAGCTGGGTCAACAGGCACTGTGGGAATTTATCAATTTAGGGGGCCACTTGCATAACACTTTGACTGATGAATTGGGAAAGACTGGCTTACTGCACTAAAGCTGTTCTATTATGTGTGACTTTCTTTAGGATGGCAGAGGCTTCCTGCAGGCTCCAGAAAATAAGCAAAAGATAAACTGAGCTGTTTTATTTCCTTATAAAGCGATAAAAAGTGAGAACTCCTTAATAGCCAATACTAGAAAGACTTTTTAAAAAAAAGGGGGGGGGGAAACCACAAACCAAAACAAAAACTTTTCCATCATAGTTACAAAGGAGTTTTTGTGAAGTACTT